TTTATCTTATATTATGTATTATGAATTAAAATTTAATTTAATTTAATATAAATGAGATTTAAATTGAGAATTAATTAATTTTATTCATAAGCTTTAACAAATCTTATTCACAAGCATTAAATCAAATTTTAATGGAGCTTAATTGTTAGTTTGTTAATGAACTTTAGATCATCGAGGCTCTTAAAAAGCTTGTTCTCGAGCTATAAATGATATTATTCATGAACGTAAATGAATCGAATAAGAATTTTTTTAAATTTGTTCATTTAATAATTGAGTATTTATAAATGTGTTCAAACTTGTTCATTTCATTAATCAAACAAACATGAACAAGCTCTTATCAAGCCAAGCTACGAGTAACTTATCCAACTGCTCAGATCATTTCCAGCCCTAATGGCCAACAACGATCTGAGATAAGCTACAATGATCCAATGGTGATGGTTGAGCAACATTTCACACACCATTATGGCCTCCAACCGACTATTTTATCTGCAAATTATTTGCAGCAATGAATGGAATTTTGCAGGAATAGGAGACGAAGAGATTTCATGTGAAACAAGTGAAAGAGCATAAGGGATTTAGCGTGAAACAAGCACTTTGAGCAGCCCCGTACTTGTCTTCCCCCGATTTGAGCGAAAATAATTAACACTGAAAAGTAGTTTTAAGATAAATCTTAAATACCCTCTAAACTCATAACTCTTTTATTTTATAGTATGTTAAAAAATTAAATTTTAAATTTCATATACTTACTTTATAGTGCACTAATAAAACTGCCAACCAAACAACCCATAAATGTAAACTGGGATCTTGTTTTTTATTTCGATTTTTCCGTTCGTTAGAGCTAAGGAAAAACCCTCTTTGATCTTTTTCATCCTCCTCATTCCTACCTTAACTCAGATGCTTAGCTACCCAACTCTCTCTAACCCCTGTTGATGTGATTCAAGGATAAATCTAGGTTTAAATGGATGTTAATTAATCTTAGGAATTACAGTTATATTACCGTTGTTTGTTATATCTCTTCAATTATGCTATATTGTAATATATCTATTTGTTATATCTCTTAAGTTATAGCTTATTTCATCTATTTTATATTTTAATATTATAGCTATTATTATTATACTCACTCTGTTGTATAAGTCATGCAATTTGTTATATAAAGCTATTAGAATGCACTCTTTCATAGGTAAATCAAGTTTGAGAAGATTATTTGAATATAGTTCCAATTAGGACAGAACCATAATCAATCTTATGCTCAACTCTAGTTGATCCCTATTCGAACTCTATTCTAATGGGGTATGACTATTGTTCAAAAATGGTCCAAATTTTACTAAAATATGGTGTTTGAACTTATATAATTTTCTGTGGGCTTCAAATAAGTAGTATGTGGTGAAAAGTGCGGATACTTTGGTCCAAAATAAATTTCAGGCACATTTCCCCAAGAATGCAAATAACTGTCAAATTTCTCCAATTTCTAATGTTATGAGTCAAATAAAATCAAAATTTTCAACTATAACTGAAAAAATAATGAAACAAATAGCCCTTATCCAGATGAGCTTTCTAAAAGCATGCAATAAACAAACAACCAGAACAAACCAATAACACATATACAACACGCACAATTTAGGAGAAGCCGGAGAATTAGAACCGTTGGCGAGATTCCTTGGGCTGTCCTCGCGACTCCCATCTTCGTAACTCCCAGCTCCAAGATCTACGTTAGATGAGCGCACTTTGACGATGCTGCCATAACATTTTAGCCTCGATATGCATCTGTATGTTACAACAAATAAATAAAATTCAATAAACTGGATACTAAAAGCAAGTTATGTGTTTAAAAACAATAGTTGTAAACTATTTAGGAAGAAGAATGCGACCTGCACTTCCCCCTTCGTGCAGAGCATTGAAGCCAGCTCATTCCTAAACCTACGGGGTTTGACCGCTGCAAAGTCCACCCATCCCTAAGCTTGAAGGACCTCGAGGTTCTTTCTGCTAAGGGTAGGGCAGAATCAACGAAAGCTGCGGGGTGTCTAAGGAAAGGTGGGAGAGATACCTTGGGAGGAAGAGGATGTGACCAGGACTGAAAACGAAAATAGTGAGGAGCAGCAGCCAGTAGCGGCCGCCATGCATGAAGAGGATTCTCAGGCCGAACCCCGAAGTGTAGCTCGCCGGAGAAGAGTTGGATTGAAATCTTGCTTCGAGAAAGGGCTGTAAACGAGCCGAGAATGAGCAGGCTTGTCTCTTGTTGTGCTTGTTCGAAATAGCTAGA